TTTGACCAGAATTACATATGAGATACAGTCCTTGACATTTTCGTGTTTCTGGGTGCAGTTTTCTTGTTATATTTTCTTGGTTTTAACACTATAATGTACACCAAGGATAACAGAAACTATTTCTGGTGATGGTGGAGTGTTTTGGTTGCAGCCATTACTAGGATTTTACACATTTTGTCGAAATTACTTTGAGCATTAAAGCGAGACAAAAGAGAATTATGCCAGAATAATAGCAAGAAAAACTGGCTGATTCAGGGCTTTGGGCAGGCTGAGAGTAATCTGTGACTAGCTGGTGGTCTCCACATGAAAGACAGCTTCCAAATTGGGCTTCAGCATGCAAGAAGGTTTTAGTAATTCACACCTCTTCTACTGCACCTGAGCGATTTTTTTCATTTCTAGAAAACTCATTTGCTAATAGTCAAGCCACAGCGATGGAGAATTACAATGAGGCACTGTTCACACTTCAATAAAATAAGCGCTAAAGGGAAAATATTATCTTTTTTATGTAACTGTAATGGAGTGATGCCTTAAGTGCATTATAACAAGACTCTTTGAGCATTGAACATTAGCATAATAATGAAAATTTTGAGCATTATGTGTAAAATCCTAGCTGATGCCTAACATAAATGTAGGCTAGCTATCAAAACCTGATTTTATAGATACACTGTACCTACACAACAATGCTGTTGAGTTTGTCAGACTAAGATAAATACAAAATTTTACAGAAAATGAATGTTCAAGACTTGATGAAACAAATAGATTGCTATCCCTGGAGAATTGGAAAATATTCCATAGGGCCAATTAAGAAACTATCGAAAAATGAAGAAAACACTGTACATATAAGCACCTCATGAGACAGTCAAAGCCAAAATTACTTCTTCTCATCACCTTTATGATTAGGCCAAGATTAAATTGTATATTTTGATCTTCTCTCAAGCTTGTACAAAATTTAAGCCTTTTCAAAAATAAAGTTCTGTCAATCAGATTGTTTTTTTCACATGGTTGGCATATGCCTGATGTCTAGTTATTGAAGCAATAAGCTATTACTGGTGCTTATAAAATAAATAAATTTCAAAATGTTACTCTGTCCACTCAATGACTCAAGGTAACATAATCTTTCAAACATTCATTTTGGTAGCTTTCTCCAACTTGAAATAGTACTAAGTTTAACTTTTTTACAACTTCTTTCTATGTCGTACCATCACAATGGCATCACATCTGTACTGTTTGAAATCAAATAACACTTCATCTTATTATTCCACTCCACTAAACCAAACTTTTTCCATTTGAAAAAGAAATACACTGTACCAGTGAAAATTTCATGATCAGTTCTCCAATTCTTCCTTGTTGCTGGGCTTCATTGCTTTGCGTTTCATTCTGGCATATGGTCCAATTGCAGGATCAGTGATGAAATCATAAAGTACCTTTGTCCAAGAGTGGTGCTGCGGTAAATCCTTGTAATACTCAGAGGCAATCTCCTTTACCAAGGGTAATCTGGAGCCGGGGACACTCGGAAAATCGTGGTGTTCATTATGGTAACCAACGTTGAATGTCACAAGGTTCAAGGGGCCATAGTATGAAAAGGTCTCAAAACCCTTTGCAAACATGTAGTGCTCGGAAATAAAATGCCCTGCCACTGGGTGAAGGCCCATACCCAACAGAGAACTTGCAATCATGTACACCAATGCCTTGCCTCCCCAGTAATACACCACTAAAGCATCAACACTAAACTGGATGACCATGTTGATAATTTCCAAAGCCAAGGGATTCTTTGGGTTTACAAACATTGGGCGCAGTGAGTAGAAAAATGGCTGAAATACCACCCACAAAAATTTGGTAATGGTGTTAAAAAACAGCCGGGCTTCAAACTCTGTTGGCAAGTCAACGTCCAACTCTTCATCTCCCTGGTACCTGTGGTGCTCAAGGTGGTACTTCTTGAACGAGATGGCACACGGTACCCCAATAGGAAAATTGACCAGCAGGGAGAATATGCGGTTGTGTAAAGGGCGAGCGTGACCAAAAGCCAAGTTATGGGAGATCTCGTGGATAGCTAAGAGCAGCGCATGATTGATGACTCCACCAATGGTGTACGCAGCCAAAAATAGAACAGGCCATGAGACCCCACGCAGCAGATATGTCAATGTGAACTGGATCACAATCAACAAGAGTACTTGGTACTTGAAGTTTGGATCATAGCCCATCAACTTCTTGATCTGTGGGTACTTAGCTAAAAAACAAACCAAAACATCAAAGTTACCTCAAGAGATTCAATACACACCACTGACTTTCTATGAAATCAAAGACGTTCATCTTCAGCATGCTTAACTAGCTAGATTATATTTTCCTTTTGGCCTACTACCAAGATCTATTCTTACGCTTATTTCCCACTGCAAATAATTGAAATCACTAGAACACTGACTCTGTTGTTTATTTTGCTTCATCATAATGCCGACACTACAATGAGACTGGAGCTCAAGGGTTTTACGCTGCTACTCTGGGCTGAGCTTCTTCCAGTGACATCAACTGGCAAAAAAAGATGTAATGCCCAAAATGTTTCTGCCAGTTATTTCCATTCTTGTTATTTTGTCAATGTTTGTAAAAGATACGCAGGCTATGATAAACTGACTCAATAAAGCCATTGTAGACAAATTCTGTCAAACATTTTATCAGTGTAACTTGTAAAAGGACAAAAATAATACCAATCAGTGAGTCAATTGCAATCAATTACTCTCGACAATTGATAACAATCAATAACACACAACTTTTTTCTCAATCGATTTTTATCACTTGCTATCGGCAATCGATATCAATCTTCGATTGATATCGATTGTTATCGATTAATATAGATTATCGGTTTATCGATTCACTATGCCTGGAGTATCAAAAAGAATTTCACAGTTGCCATATGTATTCTCAGCCACTACCAGTACATGCTTCTACAAATGCTCTGGCCAGAAAAACTGCATGTAGATAATCATATAGCATTGTGAAACTACGCTTGTGAAGGACTTCTAATAGACCTTTCCCGCATTCCACTCCAGTGCGTACAAACAATAGTACCAGAGCAAGGTTGGGGTGGACATTTTCATACATTTACTGTATTTTTGTCCACCCTGACCTCGACTTGGCACTATTGTTTGTTGGAATACGGGAAAGATCTATTCACTACATTTCCAAGCATATTTAAACCAACAGAACTATGACTTTTACTTGAATCTCGAGTGTTGCAGTTCACTGTGAAAGGACTGCATTTGTAATTATCTAATGGTCATAACACTACCTATACTTTTTTGGCTGGTGCAAATTTTACAAATAAACAACCTCAGCTCGGCACTCACAAGGCGATATAACTTTAGATCAGCAATCATGCTTCGAATATATCTACACAAGACTACGTCACTGGGATTGGCATGGCTCGGAATAAGTATTTTATAATTTTAGAAGCTTATTTTAAAATTCTTGTACATTTTTACAGCACAAGCTCATAAACTGAAAAATATTTTCCAGACCGTCAAAAACGAATCTACTGTTCCAGTAGAAGTACATCTTAAAAAATTGTCGTAGTTCAGTTTATTCAGATTGATTTGTACTTGAAATAATTTCACTAAAATAAGACTGGAGTGAAAATAAGTCAGGCGTAATAAGGTTGCAAAATCACGGTTCGTGCATTGCATAACATTCTGGTTCAAATGAAAGGCAAAGCTAAGCTACATGAACTTTCGACGAATGAAGCAACTTTTGAATAAAGCCAACATTAAAAAGGCAAAAATCACCACAAAACGTCCGATTTGACTTTATGCGTACTTTTACTCCAGTTCAACCCGACCATGTGCTTTCGAGCAGATGTACAGCAAGAAGCTGACAAGACCGGCCCTCGGGCGGACTCGTAAGCAAGGTTATTTTTTCGATCCAAACTAACAGTCTCCTTTTATTCAGATTCGCTGAAAACCATATGCAGCACGCTTAAAAATAAGCGGTGCTACAAGAATAGTCTTTCGCCGGTAACTTTTCCGCCTGTGTCTATTTGAAAGCACCCAAGCATAGTCCAGACGAAGACAGGCACCCGGCGACACACACTGAAAATACACATTAAAACAAGTTCTTACCTAGAATTTCCTTTCTCCTTGAAGCATGTGGCTCGGCTGTGTAGGACCATTCAAAGTCAGTTCGCGATACTTGGCCTCCCATCGTTGTCCTTGCCGATAAAATCAATGATTCTTGCTTGAATTCATCGACAACGCCTCGATACTCTTGACTTGTTTCGTAATTCGTAACGCCAGCTGAAGTGTCGGAAAGAGTCAGCTGTCAGTCAAATAACATTACCCAAGAAGCTCCTTGGTATGGGACAATAAGATTTGACCTCTGCTTTGTTCTATGTCTGCAATGCATGGAGACTTTGAATATATTTTTTGAACAGAATCTGCGCCAACAGCCCATATCATCCAAACCACTTGGTCCCTTTGCACTAAAAATAATCAAATCTACAGGTTCAAACAGGCCCAGGCGGCCCAATGCATCTACCCTCGAGGGTCTACCTCTGATCTTCTACCGATTTTATTAGGTCTCTTATTTTTTCTACATTTCATCGTGTTAATTTTCATTCTCTGCTTGAGCGGTTAAACATTACTATTATTAGAAATCTTATGGACTAATTACTTGTTATGTGCACGTGGACATCGGATGTCGATCAACATATGATCAATCACCCCACAAATACAACTGTACATACATGTCGTAACAAGTTTTGCCTGCGTAGCAAGCGTTCCCTTATGAACCAAGCGAATTCAGGCCACGCGGCCCGACTTTGCTCGGCTCGTACGGGAACGCTTGTTAGCCTGAGAACGCAGTCGTATTTCCGGCTGTCGCCGAAAATACGTCTCCGTTCGCAGGTTATTCCAAGGGAGGCAATTCAACAAATTGACGTCAGTTTTTCATGCGTCTGTACTGTTATTGATCATCAATTTTATATAACATTGTCAAAGTAGCTGTGGATCCACGAGTTGATCTGCAGACTACTTTGACAATGTTATGACGAAATTCATTGTCAATAGCAGGACAGATGCATGAAAAAGTGACGCCAATTTGTTCTTTACGATAGCAAATTGTCAAATTATTCGCTGTCGCACGTTGACCCATCGCATGAATAATTATCAATTCATGTGTCTGTCCGCTTATTGGGAATGAAAATTAGCCAATGAGCGCGCAAGAATTTCTGCAGTTATCGTAAAAAACAAATTTGCATTTATACAATATCGTTTCATTGTTGTCAATGTATCAATGGACCATTTACAAAAGAGAATACCAGAACGTAAAAAATACGAAAGCCAATATTTTAATACTTCCTGTTCAGTATAGCGCCCTGTTAACCGTTATTGCGTCTTGCCTTAAAGGCCATCTCCTATGATGGGAAGGGCTAGACCAGGAGGCAGAAAGGGTACCCAAGCCCTTAGAATGAAGGTTGATGAAACCTCGTTCCCAGGGCCTTTTCCCTTGCTTGGCCAGGGAAAAGGCCCTGAGAACGAGGTTTCCTAGAGGGTGCCGCCTTCGGTGCTAAAAGTCCTAAAAGAGTCTCCCTATTTTCCTTCAAAAGAGGTTGAAATCTCTGCTTTCTCCCGCCCGTTACCTAGGCAGAAGAGCGTCTTCTTTGGAGGCTACGACTCTCTGTAAAACGAATTTTATTATTTTTATGCAGAACCTTTTGGTGGAAACATTTTCCCTCTCCGACATAATATAACATACTTTACTTCTGATGGTTATTTTACTTAATGCGCAAGTGAGCCACACACTTAATATAATTCTACGACCCCTAAATAAGACTAAAAATCGCATCAAATGTTTTCCGTCCACACTACGCTCGAAGAGTCTGAAAACGCAACAGTCGTTATTTATGGATTTGTGTTTCAGAAGATCTCGGGCAGGGAAATCACGTGATTATCGTGAAGCCATCGTTTTTCGAAAAGCTCCGGTTTCAAAATGTCTTCTGTCCAGCCGGCGTGCGAGATTGCGTAATTTTTGTGAACGTGTGAAAAGTCCAGAGACTGGTAACGAGTATTCAAAACATGGCCGCTTCCATATTCGTGCGAAGAGTTGCGAACAGATCTTTTTCCCTTGGACCGTACGCTTCACGTATTTCATCTCAACTGCGTTTCTTCAGCGATAAGGAAAAGAAATGGACTACCGAAAAGTTCGATGAAGTCGTAAATAAGGACAAGGTAGTGGTGTTTATGAAAGGAGTCCCTACTCAACCTATGTGTGGTTTTAGCAACGCCGTGGTGCAGATCCTAGGGCTGCACGGTGTTGAACAGTACGGGAGTTACAATGTGCTAGAAGATGACGAGCTTAGGCAAGGAGTTAAGGAATACTCTAGCTGGCCAACGGTTCCACAAGTTTACATGGGAGGAGAGTTCATCGGTGGCTGCGATATTCTGTTGCAAATGCATCAAAATGGTGAACTGATTGATGAACTTAAGAAAATTGGGATAAGATCCTTGTTGTTGGACAAGGCTGAGGAAGATAAAAAGGACACCTAAGACAATTGGTTCTCCCCAGTTTCGGGAAAGGAACTAACCAAACAAACAAGACACTTGCTCAGAACGTTTTGATGCTTCTAAAACTCGAGACAAACCATGCTTGCTGTGTAAATTTTGTATTACGTAATACACTCGTAAAGTTTCATGATCGAGACTACCAAGACAACGTGTACTTCTAATACAAAACACTTTTCTTACGACTGCATGCAAAATGCTGGAAAAATATCTGTGTTTATACCCTAGGGTGGGAGGTATATCCATCTAAGGTTTGACAAACCAAGAAAAAGGCTTCCACTTGCATAAAGTCACCATAGACTATAATTTTCAAACACTCAAAATTCTGGAAGATTTTGCCATAAAATAATCAGTAGTGACATTTGCCGAAGTATGGTTTTATCTGAGAAAAAGATTAGTGCTAAGGATAAAATTAAAAGACTACCCAAAGCAAAAAGGTGATTGTACTTAACTACACCCTGCAAGTAGAACGTCCTTCGATCTACCCAGAAAGATTGAAGGAGTTGGAAAACTCTGTTCACAGGGTAACATGAATATGGCAAATGCACAACAGTACAGGCCCTCAGCAGGATATCCCTTTTATTTATTCAATATGCACTACTGTCATAAAATAAAATTTGCCACTTTCTTGCAGTCGCTTAATGGACTGTTACTGGGGACATTATTACTCCTCATCTTTTGTTTTGACTCCAGTGACAGTCACACACGTGAATGCAAGATGAGACTTACGTCAGACATTTTCTAAAGTGGCAAGCATTAAGGATAAGAGAGAACTGCAACAATGTCCATTAAAAATTACTATTTTCAGTATGACATCATGCAATCTCTGAAACAGTGAACTTGATGAGATAGTTTAGCATCTTGCAATGGTTATCCCTAACATGTAGACTCTGCTGTAGTTAAAAATCAATTTCAGGTCAGGATATTTTTAAGCTGGTTTGATATGTATCCTGTTATGTTCTGAATTTATTGCAGTAATACTTAACACAATGAAAAAGACAACTCGGACTAGTTTGAAATCATTTTGACCTGATATTCATGTTAAATGACAATGTACTCATCACATATTTTCACTCTTCAAACTCTTTTTTGTTTGTTTGTACTGTGATCATATTTGTTTCTGTACAGTGACCATTACTGTGTTTAAATTTTTCTCTGTGCAAGAAGTCTTGTCAAATCTGATCACCATCTTTCTTTGGATACAACCTCTAGTTGGAAAAAGACTATTTTCAGGAATAGTTGATACACACACTGTCACAGCGGTCTCAGGTCACAGATGACCGTGATTAATTACTTTTCTGTGAAGAACGATGCTCTCAGTAGCCAAACTTTTCATTCAAATGTGTCCGTCCATCACCTGTCTGACCTGACGGGAAAAAAAAAACAAAGAGTCACACAATTCCCCACATGTCTAATAAATTGCTATTGATTATCAAGCAAATAGATGATAGAGATTATCATCGTGTTTGAAGAGTTATCTAGATATAGTTCTAAGTTCTCACTGGCAAAATTGAAATAGTCATAGATATACCGGCAAAAATATTCTAGCAAAATACTTCCCTTCATCCCCATAGCATTATATCATCAAAAAGTCACTTCATCATTTTCTTTTAGATTAGTTGCTACCCTCAAATGTCAACCCCTTTCCCCAAAAAGAGAAAGTCCATAAGAGTAAACAGAAATGATGGAAAAGTGTCTTGAAATGTGGCCAAAGCAAACCTTAACAATACAAAGTTAACTGGGGCAGATCTAGGTGGGTTCAGTTGAACCCCCTAAATTTAAAAAACAACGAGACATTAGAACACACTGATCTGGCTTCAGAATGCCAGAATTTCCAAGGATCTCAATTTTCTGGGGGAGGATGCCCCAGACCCACCTACAGATGCCCCCAGAGCCCCCTACTTGGGACACCAAAGGTGGTCTGCAGATCAAGCCCTCTTCTATAAAATCCTGTTTCTACCCTAGGCTTTTTTTTTTTAAGTGAATGCTATTTTTTTCTTAATGCTTTTACTGACTTACAAGCATCACTTACAATACATGAAAAAAGCTACTTACAATACTTTGCATTACACTGCTTGCTTACTTACAATACACAATAATAATTACTTATTTGTGCACATCAGTTGTAACACATGCCCTAGGTTAATATACATGGACTAGACATATATCAGTAAAAGTGATATCCTATAGCTGTCTACAGGTGGACAGCAAAAGAAAAATCCCCAGAAATGAACTGATACAATGTTTGACAGGTGTACAGACCTTCAGGTGGCAGCCATGCTGCATATGTAGGATCATTCTCAGCCTGCCACTGAGTGGGAACATTGTAAGATCGCTTTTTCTTCTTCTTTGGAACTTTCTCATTCTGCAAATAAAATGAGAGCAAAGAGAATTATGCAATCTACGCAATGTCATAAAAAACTTAAACAAATGAAAGTAAAAGGTGTACCATCCAGGCATCAAACTTACAACAAATTATGTGAATATTTGACAAATGAACATATTTTTCCACAATGATAAGAATGGGTTACACTCTTGTAGGCTATGGAAAAATTTGGTCACTTTGCATTTTAACATGCAAAATTTTATTACTTATTTTAAGTTCTAATCAACAATGATTTAGATAAACATATACAGGCAAAAAGTAACGATAGACAAATCCGACAATGGTGCCAAGATGTCGCCGAAACGTCGGATTTGTCTATTGTTAGTTTTTGCCTGTACTTTCAGTTCACCCAGAATTAAGCAACTAGCAATAAAAAGGTAGAATTTTATACTTCAAATTAAATTGCCCAACCATGCTACTATAAACAATGTACGGAGACTAATGTTTTAAGAAATTTAACATAAAAACCCTAACTCACATTGTCTTGAGCTTCTATGTTTTGTTCTTGTTGTGAATCTGTTTCTCCCTCTGATACATTTCTCTTTCTCCCTTGTAGACCTTCACTATCTTCTGGTGGCATGTTACAAGTTTCTTTTTCTCCTATGTTTACAGTCTCATTTCTGTCTTCTGTTTTCACAACAACCTTTTGTGGCTTTCTATTTTTTCTTTTCTGTGAAGATGGTGTGATAGGAACAGCAAATTCTTGTTTCTTTTCTGCAGAATTTGAGGAATGGCTGTTGTTGTCTTNGGTTACACTCTTGTAGGCTATGGAAAAATTTGGTCACTTTGCATTTTAACATGCAAAATTTTATTACTTACTTTCAGTTCACCCAGAATTAAGCAAATAGCAATAAAAAGATAGAGTTTTATACTTCAAATTAAATTGCCCAACCATGCTACTATAAACAAGGTACGGAGACTAATGTTTTAAGAAATTTAACGCAAAAATCCTAACTCACATTGTCTTGAGCTTCTATGTTTTGTTCTTGTTGTGAATCTGTATCTCCCTCTGATACATTTCTCTTTCTCCCTTGTAGACCTTCACTATCTTCCGGTGGCATGTTACAAGTTTCTTTTTCTCCTATGTTTACAGTCTCATTTCTGTCCGCTGTTTTCACAACAACCTTTTGTGGCTTTCTATTTTTTCTTTTCTGTGAAGATGGTGTGATAGGAACAGCAAATTCTTGTTTCTTTTCTGCAGAATTTGAGGAATGGCTGTTGTTGTCTTCCTTAGAGACCGAATGTTCTTCAGCAGAGCTTTCCTTAAGTCTTACTTGTTCAAATAAGACTGATGATTCATGCCTAGAGTCGGTATTTTTGTCAACTGTTGTATTTGGAGTAGAATCACTTGATTTACTTTCAGACTCAGTGCTTTTGGCTGCCTCATCTAAAATTAACATAAAAGTGTTGTAAGTTAGAATACGGCTAATCCCAGATGCCTTCAATGAAGGCACTTTCATTGTCTAACCCCAAATTAATTTCAAATTAACTTAGTTTTAACTCAACTTTTGTATCTACCAGAATAGTACATTGGAATGAAAATTACAAAACAATGCCTACTTACTGTTCATAGTAAGCAACCCAGTTGAAGGTGCCCTGGACAGAATAAAAGAACAAGAAAATAATTATGGCTAAGAACATTTAATAATGGTGATGACCATTTCTGGTTTGTTGGGTTGTTTAGGTTTTTTCATGTTCTACCGGAGTAAAACTGTTTTCAGTTGGTTTAGTTGATCAACTTTTTCAACTAACCTCAAACCAGGTCGTGGGAGTGAGTAGCGTGGTAGCCTCATGGCCAGTGCCCACAGCTGAAACAGTTCTCTCAGGATTCCAATAGAACACTGCCTTAGACTGTCATTACACTATGTTTTTATTTGCTGAATTCAGTGTGGGCATTTTGTTTTGTTGTCCCTTTATTCTTAACTTACAGCATTAAACAGTTCATTTCTCCTAACAAGCAGATGAATGGGGAAAACAATGAAAATTATCAACTACATTATCCAATACAGATACAAGTCATATGAAATGTTATAATAATTAACAACTTACTCTGCAACTGCAGGAAGACTAGCTGGCTTGGCAATATTTACAAGTTTGACAAGCCTCTGTCTTTCCTACATGAAGTGCAGAAAAAAAAAACAGTCAAAAATTCTTATAATGGTAATGGTAACATGAGAGCAGCAAACAGGTAAGGATAAACAACAAAATGCAAGTTCAGTAATAAAAAACTGCTATCATATATCAACCAGGGAAAATAGGAAACTACATAAGTTTCAGAGATTAGTAGCTCAAAAGGCTGGATGAGGGCTTAATCAATCAATCTTTATTAATAACCTCTGATTTTCATTTCAATCAATAAGTGTAAATCTAATAGAAGTAATAATCTTCCTAGATGGATGCTTGGCCATTTGTGGGTTTCTCCCCACTCCTGGAAGAATTTTGTGAAGCTGCCCCAACAATTCCTCTTCCTGGTCCCTCTGTCTTTTCTAAGGATCACCCATGCCTTTCATGTTAAAATCTGGGCCTTATTCATGATTAATGAAGAAAAAAACAATGAAGGCCGTGTTTTTAAAAATGTAGAATCGAAGGGACCAATATCTTATCATAAGTGAATTAATACAGAGCCCCAAAAGCATTTCATGATAAAACAAAAGACCCAGATCAGGTGTTACACAAGTTGTGGCAGGTTTTCTTCCTTTCCTGTTTCTTCTTGAAATACGTCATTGCTAGTCTAAAAGTACTATTGTATGTCAAGCACCTTTTTCAGTTCAAATACTTTTCTTCTGATCTGACTCCTTGTTGTCTTGTCCATTGAAGTTCCAAGTGAGCTCATGTAATCATCTAATGAGTCAGCACCTCCAGCATTTGAGCCATTCTTATCTAAACAAAGGGTCAAAGTAAATTATTGGATAGCCTTTGACAAAATATTAACCCCTAACCAAACAAGCACAAGGGCCATACTGGGAAATACTGGCCCAAGGTCGTGGGAATATGGACCAAGCATAGCAAGGTCTGTACGAAAAATGCCGAGGGCCAATATTCCCAGTTACTGCTCAAACAAGCTAGTTTAGTACATCTACTAAGTAGTTTACTAAAAAAAAAAAATTACAGTCTGTCACAGCTTATGACCATTTTCGTGGAAATAGTCTGCATGATCAAAAAAGAACCAATCAGAATGCCACATCAATTTACCTCAAGACTACCTGGTATAAAGCTTGCTATATAATAATAGTAGGTAAAAAAAATACTTTGCCAACTGGCAGAAATGCCAAGTCTGGGTTGAACCAGGGACATCCAGATGGTTCGTACTTTTTGACGCTTTTAAAATTCCACGGCTTTCCATGACCTTTTCCATGACCCTTCCAAATTTTCCACGACCAAAGTTAAGCAGTTGTTCTCACAGCAGTATCAAAACAATCAGTTATTTAACATAAGTTCTAGCATTAGAATGTACAAAATGTGTGCTTACAGTGTCTATTTCTACTGAAATTAAAGCCTGCTTTTGACTAGTCTGCTATTTTTTCAAATTTTTTATCTTTTTGCCTTTTCATTTTCCGAAAGCATATTGCTTTTCCATGACTTTCCATGACCTTCACTTAAATTCCATGACTTTCCAGGTTTTCCATGACCCATACGAACCCTGATCCAGATCTCAAACTTTTCAAGGTTTTTTAGAAAATGTACTCAGCCTATAGCTGCTACCTCGAATATCGATAGCAACCAATTTAAAATCTTTCAAACTTACCAGTCGCATCTTGCTGCAATTTGTTTTCAAAACTCTTGATTTCATCATCCAACGTCTGAAGTTTTAATGTCTTAAACAGATCAAAGACACATTTAGTAAAATTTGATTCTTATATTGATCAACACAAATGTTGATCAACAAAATGTTTACATAATTGTTAATAAGACCAGAAAAATACAGAATGAAATAAATTCTGTGGACATTATCCTCTCGAACACAATAAAGTGTGTCATACTTCTGTCTTGTATCAATTATGCATGTCACACTTTTGCATCACAATTACAGTATACTCTGGAAAATTGGAGTTAACTTTTAAAGCTTTTTATAAGTAGTTTAAAGGACTCAAAGAAGCTTATACATTGTACTTTAATTGCTACAAATTTCAAGTAAATTAGGTAGTTATAATTATACTCACCAAAGATTCATAAGTTTCTGTAGATGGTTGATCTTTACCAGCCCGCTTCATCCTCTGTATCCTTTTCTTCTCAACTAAGATGTAAAAATTATATTAAACAAGCAGGTTTTATTGGAAAGGAAGGAGCAGTCTGTCTCCATGACTCTCATCCTACAAACTAGATGTAAAGTTAGACATGCCAGTGATGACATATCTGACAGAACTGAGTTGGTGGAAACTTGCCCAGAAATAAATACCATTGGAACCTTCAATCCAGTCATCAGACCTGTCTCTTGATCAGGACAAGTGATCACTGCTTAGATGAGGTGTCCCATTATCAGAGATTAATGATGCAGTGCGTGGCCAGGACCTGAGCCTCTAAAGACAATAAATATTGTCTGAAGAGGTTCAACTGTACCACTCCTGAGATACACAAGAAAACTCTCCTGAAACACACAAGCTGCTCCATATAGGTTTGGTGTTTTTGTCAAATTTTAACATACGCAGCACTCAGTTTTTCCTTCATCAGAATTGCAATTCTATAACATTATTTTCTTTTAATTGCAAGATCCTGTTGTGCTGCATACAAAATTGCAGAATTTTGAATTTAGTGGTACAAAAACTCAATGTGTAGTTCCAGAAAATATCCAATACCTCCCCCATGGAAGGGAATTTTTCTAAGTCCCCCCCCCCCCCCCC